TCCTCTTCCAAAGTGTAACAGTTTTAGTAGCTACAGAGTGAACCAAGCCCTGGTAACAGATCAGAGGGCAGTCCAACCACAGAGACCTCTTCCACTTTCTTTGGGTTTAGGGGCCACCTCTGGAGGTGCACAGAGCTTACTCCTGGCTTTGCACTCAAGTATCACTCCTGGTGATCTGGGGGACCATATGGGGTGCTAGGAATTGAACCCAGGTTGGCTAGGTAAAGGCAAATGCCCTACCCTCTGTACTATTCCTCTGATCCCTACAGAAGTCTTTTGAGTTAGTTGAGAATATACAAGTTTAAAAAACAGAAAGGAAGAAAACTAGCTGAAATTTTCATAAATAACTGGTTAAGAGACCTGCTTCTGGGACTGGAGTGATAGTACAGCAGGTAAAGTGCTTGCTTTGCATGTGGCCAACCCAGGTTTGATACCCTGCATCCTATATGGTCCCCCAAGCACCAACAGAAGTGACTCCTGAGAACAGAGTCAGGAGTGAACCCTGAACATCGCAAAAAAAAAAAAAAAAAAAGAGAGAGAGAGACAGACAGACAGAGACAGAGAGAGACAGAGACAGAGAGCTAGCTCCATATTTCTTCCTTGCCATTCAATGTAACCAAAAGTCATTTACTATATGACCCTGAACCTCAGTGTCTTCATTTGTACACAAGTGATGAGAAACTCTCCTTATGCTATATGAAATATGTTCAAATGCCTAGCATGATGCTAGGCTCACAACAAAATGTTCATTTCTCTGCCTTCACTCTTAAATAAAAATATCAAGGAAAAATGTAGAAAAGTCTCTTTTCTCCCAAGCCCAAACAACAGGAACCTGATTCTTTTTTTTTTCTTTTTGGGTCACACCCAGCGATGCTCAGGGGTTACTCCTGGCTCTGCACTCAGGAATTACTCCTGGCAGTGCCTGGGGGACCATATGGGATGCCGAGGATCGAACCCAGGTTGCGTGCAAGGCAAACAACCTACCCGCTATCCTATTGCTTCAGTCCCAGGAACCTGATTCTTGATGGAGAATTAAACAGATTTCTCTAAGTAGACTGGGTCATAACATTTGTTTAATTAGAGGGGGAAAAAAATCAATCGATTCTAATCAATATCTATCTGCTGGGAAAAAGTTTCCATGCAATTGTGATGCCTAAGAACAACAGACAGATACTATGCTGGAAGAAGACAGAGGACCAAACCTCACTCAACCAAAAAATAATTTTGTTTGGTTCTGTTTTTGGTCACACCTGGTGGTGCTCAGAAATCGCTCCTGGCAGGCTTAGGGGGCCATATGGGAAACTGGGGAACAAACCTGGGCTGTGTGCAAGGCAAACCTCCTTCCAGCTGTACTACTGCTCTGGCCCCTCATCCAAATTCTTTAGCTCAAATGTTTACAGGTAAATCTTCAAGTGGAAGGAGACTAGTCACTAGTAGAGTGATTTGCCCAGGTTAAAGATCAAGGCCAGGTTGCCTGCCTACCCCGCGTCTTCAGATTGAACAGACAGGCTCTGGGAGAGAAACTTCTTCCAGTCCTTTGCCTCTGAGCTGAGAATGGGCAGGTCTCTCTGCCCACAGCTTCGAGTTGCTGTGGCCGGGGATGCCAACTTCCCCAGAAGCCAGAGGTTACAGAAAATAAAGGCCCAGAGACTCTGGTCGAGAGCCCAATCTTCTACTACCAATGAGCCCTTTATTATTCCTCCTTTCTGCAGAACCTATAGATTAAAATAGGCTGTCAATTAAGCTATAATTATTATGGAATATGTTGTTATCCTGTTTAAAAAACTAACCAAACAACATAATGAGCCTCTGATCAGCAAGAATTAAGTGTTGCCAGAGCACTGATTCAGTTCCAATCCAAAGCCGGGAAGCCTGCAGTTTCAATAATCTGTGCGGTCCGACTGGAATCAAGGGCAGAGCCACTGTTCTTTGGAAAATATGGAAGCTTGTGTATACCTGAAAAGTCACATTAGTTGCAGAGTTGGGAGCCACTTACCAGATTCAAGCCTTTCATCTTTCAGATGAGGAGAAAAGAATCCCAGAGGACCCAAGGCAGCTGCCAAATGATACTGCTAAACTGGGCAGCATTAAGGATAATTTTCCCCTTTAGACACGGGTTGCTTTAGAATACAAAGATACAATTGTTTTCTTCAAGAGGCCCTGTGTAAACCAAACCCTTTAAATCAATGTTGAAATTAAGGAACATTCTCTAAAAGGAAATTTGAAAGACGGTAGATGAAAGTCACTCCTGAATGAAGCCCGCCTGTGAAGCCCAACTTGAGGTGCGACCTTACTCAGGGCATCTGAGAGTGGCCCTCAACCTCATCCCGGGGCGCTGGCAGAGGAAGACGGTGCACTCCGCTGAGAACACCCTGCCAGGCAGTGTCCAGGATACAGAAATCGCATTCTTCATTCTCGGCTCCCTTTCCCCTCCCTCGCCCGCTGTCACGCCCGATCATGTTCCCGTGGAATCTGGTTGCGTCACTTTCCTTGCAACCTCAGTCCCGGAGCTCCTGTGGACTCTGTACTCCCCCGGAGGCCTGGGGTCAAGGACTTAATTTGTTCCACCGAATCTGACAAGGGTTGTGTTTAGAAACCCAGGAAGTTCAGTCCCTCTGCTACTCCAAGGAGGAAACTGAGGCCCAGAGAGGGCACAAGCTCCTAGCTAGAGAGGAGCCCTTGAGGTGAGGATGCTCTATAAAAAACAGATGAGGTTGGAGGGGTAGCTCAGCAGCACAGCACTTGACTTGTATGTGTCAGGCCTGGTTTACACACACACACACACACACACACACACACACACACACACACACACACACACACCACGTGTGCACACAAGAGTGTCCTAGCTTTCTTTTTCTTTTCCTTTTTGGGTCACACCTTGGCAATGTACAATGCACTCCTGGCTGTGCACTCAGGAATTACTCCTGGCGGTGTTCCGGGGGACCATATGGTATGCCGGGAATCGAACCCGGGTCGGCCGCGTGCAAGGCAAATGCCCTACCCGCTGTGCTATCACTCCAGCCCATCCTAGCTTTCTGAGTGACGGTGGTGATTGATGAGACTGATACCTGGAGCAGCAGAGGGTCTGGGTGGTGGGTGGTCCCTCCTGGGAGGCAGAGCCCTGAGTGTCGGTATCTCTTCAGAAGTGGCTTCAGGAATGTGGCCTCCCATTTAGGGTAAAGGGAGAGGGTCAACAGTTGAGTCAGTACCTACCTGACTCCAGCTGGGCAAACAGTGGGGTGAGGGGCAGGTGGTCAGGTTCCCCAGAGGGACGGAGGCAGAACAGGATAAAGGGCTGGCAGGTCTGGGTGGCACTGGGGATCTGGCTCTCAGAGGTCCAGGCAGACAATTCATTATCTATTCTAGTTCCAGAGAAGATGCGTCCAATCCTCTCAAAGATTAAAGGGACACAGCATTCCTGATTCCTAAGGGAATAAACCCTCCCCCAAACTGCCTTTTCAGGATTAAGAGTAAAAGGGATTAATGAGGTCCTGGTTTAAACTAGTGCCTTCTTCAAACATTTGGCATCCTGATTCCACCTGGTAATACCTGCCTCCTAAATTCAAGATCAATATGACTGCTCTTCAGAAAAGAATCTCCACTATTCTTCTGGTATGCCAAACTATAGGAACCTTTTTCTATTTTCTCTGCTGAGTGAGGAAAATAAACCCAAGAATTCCTCCGGATGGGGGGGCCGAGGGCAGAGGAAGGTATAATAAATATAGCTTCTGAAGGATGAAAAAGAAACTCGGAATGACAGAACACTGGCTAGAGTCCCCAGACATTAACTTTGTTGAAACCAGTGGCCCTATCTGTAAAATGGGGACATAAAATGCCCGAGGCCCTTGGGAGATCCTAGCCAATTATCTGGAAGAGTCAGCAATGAAGACTCGTCCCCCCAAATGCTCCCTCAAATCCAGATTTGGTCGATCCAGACGAGCTTACCTAACAGGGTTAATTCTGCGAAACCACACGATATTCTGCTTTTCTTCCCAGGGCAAAGCCACCTGACTGGTATCCCGGGAGGTAAGTCTGGGCACGGAGCTGAGGTGGGGAAGCCAGAGGGGAGAAGCCAACCAGGACCACTGGTGAGGGGGAGGCAGCCCTGGAACAGGCTGCTCCCAGAGAAAGAAAACAAGCCCCACCCCAATCAGTAATGGCCCATTCAGGAGGGACCTCGAGGGCCTGAAACCCCCTGGGGAGTTTCTGTTGGAGGTGGGGTGGGGCAGAGGGAGAAGAAAGGCCTGTCAGAGGTAGAGAGTTTCTGTACCTCCCTCTGAGAAGTCTCCAAGAGCCCCCAGAGAGACTCAGGCCCGGGTCTCTACGTGCCTGGAGGGTGGGGGGGGCGGGCACAGCCACTCAGGAATATTCTCCAAAGCCAACTGCTCCGATTCAGGAAGCATCTGTCCTAGAAACTGTGTCCACCTGGGAACTCAGTCGCCCTTACAGGCCAGGGGCCAATGTGCCTGCCATTAGGAAAGAACAAACGTTCATAGAGGGCCTACTGTGTCCCGGGCTGCCCACACCCAGGCCCTGCCAGCTTTCACACTGTTTGGCAAAACCTGCCCATCCTGCTTGTTGGGACAAATTCCTGGGGAGGCAGCATGGCCTGCAGGTAAGACCTGTGGGAGCTCAGGAGCAGCACCGTGGCCATCTGCTCGCCTCACTCGAGTCGGTCGCACTGAGAGCGAGCCAGTCTGTGGAACCCGAGGGGCTCTTCCAGGTGCGTCTGGGAAGGAAGGGCTCCCCCAGAACCCCCCCTCGGGCCTACCCCTCACCTCGCCATTCCCAGGACGGGCTGGGGAACCTTCCCCTACCCTGGTCTGTTCGGGAACGTCGCCTACTGTCTTCTACCTGACAAAACCAATGGTCAGAGGACCAGTGAAATCTGAGAAGCAGCTCCGGGGAAGCCTCTGCTCCCCCCATCCCCCCCAAAAAACCCACCCCCTACCGGGGACCAGAAGAGCGGATGGGGAGGCGGATTCAGCTCAACTCACCGAAAGGGGTCTCTGGAGGTGAAGTAAGCCGAGATGGACAAGTAACTCCCCATCTTCTTCCCACACCAGAGAAACAGGCTCGGCTGCAAACCCGTCTGGGAGGGCCTCAAGCTGCCTGCAGACAGCCACCATGACAGGCCCAGGGCTCCCGGCACCTCTGGCTCCGCCGGCTGCTGGCGCTCACCTCTCCCTCCGGAGCACCCGGGCTGCGAGCAGGAGGACTCCCGGCCACTCGCCCCCTGGCAGACTCCCGAAGGGGCTCATGGCTGGAACGGCTCCTCCCCAGTTCTCGGAAGCTCGGCCGCCTTGCAGGTCTCCCGGAGAACCGCCTCCCCGGGGAGGCTACGCAGACAGGGGCATTCTCGGGCAGGGGCCGGTGACTAGCTAAGAAAGAAGCGCGGCTGTCAAGTGAGCCTTCTCCTTCGGTCCCACCCCGGGAGGAAGAGGAGGGGCTCCCCGCGGAACCGAGGTGTGTGGTTGGAGCAGCTATTAGGAAACAGACCTTGCAGGCACGGGGTGGAGCTGAGCTGCAGGGCGGCTGGAGGCAGGAGCCCAGACAATAAGCAGGAGGGGCTGAGCGGCAGGGCAGGAGAATGGGTGTCCCACATCTGCCCCGAGTGGCCCCAGCCGGACGGATACCTAAAGGCAGGGACTTTCTCAGCAGTGAAAAAAAGCACGCGAGACCAAGAGACCCAGCGCCAAGCCGAGCCCCAGCCCCAGGAGGAGGAATGTGTGTGTCTCTCCTGCGCCTGGCTGGGGCTGAGATCCCTCAGCCTCTCCCTCTCCCTGGCCAATGTGGGTCGCTACTCCCCGACCTCAGAACTGTACTGGGAAGGAGGAAACAAGGTCCAGAATGTTAACGGACACCTGACGTTTCTCCAGGCAGCCGGCGCTGTACAGGCATGCTCTTATTTCTCCGAGATGAAAAGTATCTCCACGTTACAAATGAGGAAAAGCAAGACCTAGATCATTTATCTAAGATCAAAATTTTAGTCAGGGGCAGATCAGAAATTTAAAGACAGGTCTATAAACTCAGGGACACAAACTTGCAGCTCCAAAATGTCACTCTGCCTCTTCAAGAGAAATTTCTTCCTCAAAGGTTTTTCTGCAAGTGGGAGATCACGGGTCCCCAGTCTCTTCTGTTTTATGTTTTATTTCGGGGCCACACCCAAGCGATGCTCAGGGGCTACTCCCAGTAGTGCTTAGAGGTCCACGTAGTGCCATGATGGAATCGCAGCCTCCTGCATGGCTTCCATTTTGTCCCGTTATCTCTGTGTCTACCCCTGTGTCCCCTCTTCGACGTGTCTGTATGAGTTCATTCACTCATTTGTTCATTCATTCGTCTGTTCATTCATTCATTCATCCATTCACAGAATCCCATCCACTGGCCTTTGGGGTAGTGGGACTTCATTTGTTGAGTCTCCTGGCAGTAACTGGTCTTCTCAAGCTGAAAATGAGACACGATGGAGGCCTCAGGGGATGAGCACAGATAACGGGAGTGAATAAACCAGTGACCACCATGGGGAAAGCCAATTTTCTCTCTTCCTGCAGGGCTATTACGGGGGAAATAAGACTGCTAGAGAGGACTGGGGCATGCCTTGACCAAAGAACTTGATTGGGATGTGACGTCAGCTCTCTCCTAACTACACACACAATCCTCCTCTCTGTAGCTGATGTCTCTCCTTGTAAACTGTGTCAGGGAAATCAAAGATGGTGGTTAGGTTACCAGGAATCTGTGACCCAAAATAAATAAAATATAAATAAGTGGATGTGACTGTTTCAATAAAACTTTATGGGTAGTGCAACTTGAATTTCATGTAATTTTCAAGTGCCAAGAAATATTCTTATTCCAACCATTTAAAAATGTCAAAATCAGAGCTAGAGAGATAGTACAGTGGGGACAGAATTTGCCTTGCATGTGGCCAACCTGGGTTTGATCCCCAGCATCCCATATGGTCCCCTGAGTACTGCCAGGAGTAATTTCCTGTGTACAGACCCAGGAATAACCCCTGAGCACATTCTGGTGTCCATTTCCCCAAAAAATATAGTAAAAATTTAGGGCCTGGAGAGAGTACAGTGGGATGAGGACGTGCCTTTCATGCAGCTGACCTGGGTTCAATCCCTGACATCCCACAAGTACCATCCACCCACTCTGGAGCACTATCAGGAGTCACTCCTGAATGTAGAGCCAGGAGTAAGCCCTGAGCATTGTCAGGTGTGGCTCCCCTCCACCACTAGAAGTTTTTAAAAGGTAAAAATAAGGCTAGAGAGACAATTCAAGGGTTAAGGTAATTGCCTTACATGTGGCCAACATCAGTTCAATCCCTAGTACTGCGTAAAATTTCCTGACTTCGACCAAGAGTGACTCCAGAGAATATAGCCAGGAGGAAATTATGAGCACTACTGGGCATAAACCCCCACCAAAAAAAAAAAAAACTAAAAAAAAAATCAAAGACCATACACAGGTTTGCTCACTTTTGACCTGAAATCAACACTCAACTTCTACTTACTGACTCTAACAGTGAAGACCAGCATTCGGCATTTCTGCTGAAGTCGGTCACATCTCTCTTCTACCAGACACCATCCTCCAGCCCCGGAGGAGTGAGCTCTGGGAAGGTGCTACCTTCACAAAGCACTGCTGAGTACTCATGAATTAATGCTCTTGTATGAATGTATGAGTGATTTTAACCACACTATTCAAGAGAGTTATGATTTCTCATTATACAAAGGGAGAAACCGTGATACAGAGAGGTTAAATTATTTGCCAGGGGTCAACTAACTGTGTAAGAGAGTGGGGAAGTCAGGATTCAAACCCTGGCTGTCTGTAATGAGCTCTACCATTGCTACGCTGGAGCCCAGCCTGGGCCCAGAGCCAGACTGTCTGGGTTTGAATGCGACAATGTACTGCACGTAAGCCCTTGGCACAGAGACTGGAACACATTAAGGATTGATAAATGTTAGCTGCTAATATCATTAAGTCTATTGTTACTACCACTGTGGGCTAGCTATGTGGCCTTCAGCAAGTCACTGTCTCTGTCTGGACCTGGGGTCTCTAAATTGCTTCCAGCTTCAACAGCTTTCAGCCCGGTGAGACTGTGGCAGGCTCCCCGTTTTTGCTGAAGACCCAGGCTGAGCTGAAACCACTGGAGTTGGCCCTGAGGGGATCAGGGCAGAAGTGGGTGGGGGCAGGGGGGAACGACACTGAAAGGGCTTCCCAGTTGGGCTGCTCAGAGCTCTCTTCCTCCCAGTCACAGAGCCAACTCTTTTCTCACCAAAAAATCTTTTATGTGCCCCTGTAATTCAATCAGGCAAGAAGGGGGGTCCCAAATTAAGTCGGGAACTAGCAAATTATCTTCTAATTGCACTTTCTGATTCCCATCTGATGAACAGACCGTGGATGGAAGAAAACACGAGCCACAAAGAGATGGGGGCCAGGGAGCCCATGAGCATAACTCCTCTTGACGTTTCACACAGCTCTGCAGTTCCAGCAGTGGCAGGCGCAGTGAGTCGGTGTCTAGGAATGTGAGCAGGAGGCTGCAGGCGCTCTCCGTCCCCCCTCCCCCCTTTACAAAGGACTCTGTGGGTGGGTGTTCAGAGAACTAGTGAGGGTACTTAGAGCCACAGAAACTGCCTTTTCCTTGCAGAGGCAGAGATGCCCTGTCCTGAAACAAAAGGAAGCCCCTTCTAGTGGGACCCAGCTGGCCCCTATAAACTAAGACTTCAGGAGGAACCACTGAAAGGACTGATCACCAGATGTGATAACGGCTGGCCACTAGGACTGAAACGTTGCGGCTCCTCAGGGCCAACTTCAAAGGGTCTAGCCACCCAGAACTGGGAGGTGAAAGGTCACACTGGATGACATACTTCCGTCCTGCTTGCACACTGATCCTGGGTAGAAAGCTGATCCTCTGGGTCCCCAAAGCAGCTGGCAAAAGATTTAGCAGATACGGCTGCCAGAGGCAAACGGCAGGGATCCTTGCACTGGCAGTTACAGACAGGATAAAATGGCAGAAGAGGTGCTAATCTCTGGCACATTTTACAAGTTAGAAACCTGGTAGGGAGCCAAGCAAATGGATTCCTTGAAACCAGCAGAGACAACAGAGAGACTGGAGAACATCACCTTTAAAGCTGACAGCCTCACGTAAGCACAGCGCATCTCTCGAGCAGCTCCTCGAAGGTTCTGGTCAGATACATGGAAGCCTAAGGAACTGTGTTCACCTGGAGCCCTCTATTGGCCGGGAGGACTCCTACCAGGGAAGGGAGCTCACTTCTGGGGAAACTGGAGCTTCTCTATGAACTTTCCAAGGTGAGCGCTGAACCTCCATCTACTAAGCAATTTTCGGGCCTCTATGTTCCTCTTCTCGCCTGACTAATTTTCCACACTACAACAAGCAGTCATATTTTTAAAATGAGAATCCGACCTGGATTCCAATCCTGGCACCACATGGTTCCCTAGGGACCTCCCAGAAGTGACCTGTAAGCGCAAAACTCAATTAGCTGCTGAGTATGCCCGCCAACAAACAAACCAAACAATAAACTAAACTAAAAAAGAGAATCCCAGAAATATCACTGAAAGAAATTTTCCCTAGGTATTGGTATGCTACACCTTGAGGTGCTCAGGGCCACTCCCAGCTGCCAGATCTGTGCTGGGGTTGCTCTGGCACTGTGCCAGGGATGATTCAGTTGCAAAGACTGAACCCGAGCTTCATGCCCGCAGAGCATGTGCTCCAGCCCAACAAGCTCTCTCTGGCCCGAATCCAAAATTATTTAATACTAAAAGATGATGAATAATTCATAGGTCCACACTTGTATAAAACAGCTAAATACAAGAACACTAAGAATACAATACAGAATACAGCTGCTAAAAGTAATGACATAGGTCCTAGATGCTGAAACAAAAACTGTCCCAGTAAGGTGTTATGTAAAAAATGTAAACATCAGATCGTATGCAGTATAATTCCATCGTTTTAAAAGTTTATGTACACAATCCTTAGACACCATCCAGAAGATTCTACCATATTACCAATCTAGTTTATTGTAGATTCTTCTTATTAGTTTCATAATAAGATTCTACCTTATCAGTTTCTCTTTCACAAAAATGAGACAAGAAACAGGGAAGAAACAGCGTTAATTTTTGACCTTTTTGTGTATGTGAAGTCAAAACAGTTTTTTTTTTCTTTTTGGGTTATACCCAGCAATGCTCAGGGGTTACTCCTGACTCTACACTCAGAAATAACTCCTGGCGGTGCTTGGGGGACCATATGGGGTGCCGGTGATTGAACAGCTGGTCAGCTG